CTCCTGGAGCAGCCGAGCGTCCCAGACTACAAAGCAATAGATTTCTTGCTTCTGCCACAAATTCCCCCAGTTTGAGCCTTCCAACCTTCTAAATATTCCTTTGTATGTGGTTCAGAGTTCTGGGACCATCCCCTGAGCCTGCTTGGTTGGGTATTCTGTGTTGTTGTTGGCAGAAATCTTTACTACACGTCTACCCGATCCGCCATCTTGTTTGTTCTCTAGACCATTCCATTTTAAACAGTTACTGTTGACCTTTCCCACTTCTTTGATTCAATGTACTGTGGTCTTTGCTGAGCAGATCCATGTGCATGCATAGTAGAACCTTCCGGGGTGGGGCGTGGGGCATCCACTTACTTGCTCACCAGAGTGCAGGTGCACAGACAGTGGGAGACCAATGAACAGGAAAAAATGTTCACACTTTTATCTCTGACGATTGGTCAGACCTCTGCGGTGGGAATGCTCCTCTGATTCTGTTCCTGCTCCATCATGCCCAAGATGGCTCTCCGACACCCTCTGGCAGTCGCAGCTCAGAAAATGCCACCTTTCTTGCTTCTGCTATAAATCCCACTAGCAGTAAGCCTTTGATCCTTCTAAGTATTTCTTTATATGTAGTTCAGAGTTCTGGGGCTGTCCCCTGAACCTGCTTCGTCTGGTATTCTGTATTATTACTGCTGAAGGTCTGCACCTCACTTCTCCCTAATCCAACTTCAAGCTCCGCCCCCTCCCTGCCACATTATTTTAACTTTTCAGTTGCAGCACGTTTCAGCCAATCTAATATTAAAGACCATTGCAGGGCAGGGCAGATGCCTAGGTCAAGAGAAAAAGAGTTACAAGTAGGTGGTTGAATTAAACCAACAGTTTTACCTTGACTTCCACCTCTGGGATTGGAAATTCACTGGCTCGGGGAAGAAGCAACAGAACTGATGTGATGATCAGTGCACCAAGGACTACAAATATGATGGAGAACCTGAGGTAAAAAAGACAAAGTATGAAAGCACTATCAGAATTTCCCTCATATTAATTAGGCTTGGTCTGACTGTTGTACCCTGGGGTCACTGTTCTGTACTGCAGCCCTTTACTTAGCCTAGAGACCTGCTATCTACCCTTCTTAAGTGTTTTCCCTTCTAGCCCTAAACCCTTCCTGTAGAAAGATACCTGCTGGATGCAATTATACTTAGCACAGTAATTTTAAATATCTAAGGGTGAGACTATCACTTATCTATCAGTTTATTGTACTATAATTGCTTACATGTTGCCATAATGTTGGACACAGTGCCACATGTATTTTAAATACCAGCAGGTTGCCCATGGTGGACAGGTTTCAGCTCAGTTCCCAAACTAACACAGACTCTAAAGAAGACCTGGAAATTTATTTTCTAAAAAAACTGTCAGTGAAACCTTCTAAATGGCAGCAGAATGTTGTGTGATACAGTACCAGAAGTTGAGGTTTGAAAGCATTCAAAATATTACTTGGGAAGAGTTGCCTCCTCAAAGTAGAGTCAACTTTAATGATGTTTTTGGGGCCGTCATTTGTTGATGTGCCACAACTTAAAATGAGAAGAAACAACTGCAAACATTTATTAATAATTGGACTATGGAATGTACAATTATGAATTTAGGAAAATTCAAAGTCATCAAAAATTAAATGGAATCCATAAATATCTATATTCTAGGCATTAGTGAGCTGAAATGGATTGGTATTGGTCATTATGAACTGGACAATCATATGATCTACAATGTTGGGAATAACAACTGAAGAGTAATGGTGTCACATTCATCATCAAAAAGAACATTTCAAGATTTGTCCTTAAGTACAACACTATCAGTGATAGGATAATATCTATATACCTACAAGGAAGATCAGGAACGCTGTGACTCTGTAGGATAAACACTGGACTGCAACCACAAGGTCAGCAGTTCAAGTCAGCTAGTCACATCCCTGGAGAAAGATGAGGCTTTCTGCTTCCTAAAGATTTACAGCATTGGAAACCCTTACAGGGTCACTATGAGTTGGAATGGACTCAATGGCACTAAAAAACACCACAAGGAAGACCAGTTAATACACCTATAATTCAAATTTATAAGAGGAAAAAGGTGATGGTGAGGAAGAAGATGGAGATGACGATGAGGAGGCTAAGGCACTTTGGACAAACGGGCGAGCAGCTGAAGATGATAAGGATGATGATGTTGACACCAAGAAGCAGAAGACCAATGAGTATAACTAGACAGCAAAAAAGGAAAAGTTAAACTTAAAAAAGGCCACCGTGACTTCCCATCTCAGAATCTAAATGTGGTCGCCTTCAAGTAGAGTCCCACCTACCCACTTTGGGCAGCGCCACCACCTGCAGATAACACATGCTTACCACCACACAATCAAAACCACATGTGAATTTGCAACAGGGGAGAAAAAAGAACCCAAACTTCCAAGGCCTCCCCTCTTTTTTTTCCCCATAAAAGTACTTTAAAAAGGAAAATTTGTTTGTATTTTTTATGCACATTTAGTATTTTTCTACATATTGTTAGGGTCAGCCATTTTTAATGATCTTGGATGACCAAACCAGCCTTTGGAGCATTCTCTGTCCTAATTCTGACTTTACTTGTGGTGTGACTATGTTCACTATAATCTCAAAGGAAATAAACACACACACCTTATAAAAAAAGCAAAAACAACAGCAACAAAAATTACAATCTTACTCTGAGCAGTCCAGTAACTTTTTTGTGTATGTACTTTTGTTGTTGTTGTTAGTGCCAAGAGTCAGTTTGGACCCATAGCAACCCTGGAGCAGCTGGTGAGCTTGAGCCATCAGCCTTGCAGTTCAAACTGCTTTGCAGTCTGACCCATTAACCCACAGCGCCACACCAGGGCTTCTGTATGTACTTAACTATACTATAATTAGTTGGTTTCTATGAAATGCTTAAAAAAGGTCAAAGATGAAAGGTTTCTTTTCCTTTTTTGTTTATAAAGTTGCTGTTTATTTATTTTTTTTGGCCTCTTTGAGTATGTGTGAAACAATGTTGTCCAACAATAAGCCGGAAGGTTTTCACACTCAAAGAAATAGTCTTTGATGGTTACCAGGGGTGGTACCTGGTTATCCAATTGGAAGAGATCCATATTTGCCCCCATTTCAATGTGAAGAGACACTGTGGAATGTGGAAACCATCTAACCATATCATAAACAAGTAAAATTTTGCTGACAATAATTAAAAAACGGCTGCAAAATGACAGAAAACGGTCAGAAATTTAAGTCAGATTCAGAATCTGGCATCAGATGCATCTTGGCTGAAAGCAGAGAATACCAGAAAGATGTTTACTTGTGCTTTATTGACTATATAAAGGCTTTTGACTGGTGTGGATCATGACAAGCTATTGTGAAGAATGGGTATTCCAGAACACTTAATTGTGTTTATGAGGAACCTGTACAACAAGGGATCAAGAAGCAATTTTTAGAACGAAACAGAGGAACATTGAATGGTTTAAAATAAGAAAAGGTGTGCACCAGGGTAATATTCTTTCACCATACTTATTCAATCTGTATGCTGAGCAAATAGCCTGAGAATTTATCTTATATGAAGAAGAATATGTCATCAGAATTGGAGAAAGACTCGTTAACAGCCCGGCATATGCAGATGATACAACCTTGATGGTTGGAAGTGAAGGGGACTTAAAATACTTCCTGATGAAGTTCAAGGACAATAGCACTCAATATGGATTGCACTTCAATGTAAAGAAAACAATAATCCTCACAACTGGACCTTATGGATACCATCATAATAAATGGAGAAAAGATTGAAGTTGTCAAAGACTTCATTTTGCTTGGATCCACAATCAACACTCATTGAAATAGCAGCCAAGAAATCAAATGACATATTGCATTAGAGAAATTTGCTGCACAAGACCTTTAAAGTGTTCAAGAGCAAAGACAGCAGTTTGAAGCCTAAGGTTTACCCAATGCAAGCCATGGTTTTCAATAACCTTATATTCATATGCAAGTTGGGCAATGAATAAGGAAGACTGTAGAGAATTGATGCATTTGAGTTATGGTGTTGGAGAAGAATACTGAAAATATCATGGACTGCCAGAAGAACAAACAAATCTATCTTAGAAGAAGTGCAACCAAAATGCTCCTTAGAAACCAGGATGGCAAGACATCATCTTTTATACTTCAGACATGTTATCAAGATGAACCAGTTCCTGGAGAAGGACATCATGCTTGGTAAAGTGGAGGGTCAGGGAAAAAGAGGATGGCCTCCAACAAATGGACTGGCAAAATGACAGCAGCAGTGGGGTCAAGTGTAACAACAATTGTGAGGATGGCACAGGACACGGCAGTACTTTGTTATTTTGTGCACAGTGTCATTATGAGTTGGAGCCAACTAGATGGCACCTAAAAACAACAACAGGGGTGGAAGGGAAGGGAAGTAATTCACTGGCAAGTGGGTAGACATATGTTAACTTGGGTGATAAGGAAGACGATATACAGCAAGACGGGAGGTTGGCAGAAGAATGATGAAGATGGAAAGAAAGAGGTAAGAGTGAAAAAGTTCAAGGGAACAGAGCTAAATACTTTTATATACACAATCTTGCAATCACAGTAATCTATGGGTAGATGCATGGGTAGATACACAGGCTGAAGGAGTATTGGAGAGAGGTAGTATACCAACAAATATATCAAGTTTTTACAGAGGGTATTTGTACATGAATATTTATATTTATTGCTAATATATCTATGAATGTAGTGGAGAAGTCAAGAAATCAAACGATATTTTGCATTAGGAAAATCTGCTGACAAGACCTCTTTAAAGTGTTCAAGAGCAAAGATGTCAGATGCCCTTGATCCAAGTAGTTTTATTTTCAATAGCCTCATATGCATGTGAAAATTGAACAACAAAAAAGAAAATTACAGAATAATTGATGCACTGAGATATGGTGTGAGAGGAGAACATTAAAAGTACCATGGACTGCCAGAAGAACAAACAAATATGTTTTGGAAGAAGTACAACCAGAATGCTCCTTAGAAGCCAAGATGACCAGACGTGGTGTCTTATCCTTTGGACATATTATCAGGAGGAACCAGTTCATGGAGAAGGACATCATACTTAGTAAAGTGGAGGTTCAGTGAAAAAGAGTGAGACACCCAATGAAACAGACTGCAGTGGCAGCAGCAATGGGCTCAAGCATAGCATTTGTGAGATAGGTGCAGGACTGGGCAATGTTTCCTTCTGTTGTGTATTATGGGTACATTATGGGCATTATGGGTTGTAACCAACTTGACAGCACCTAACAACAACAATAACCATGGAACATCAACAAACAAACTCACAACCAGTGAGTTGATTCTGACTCATAGAAACTCTGTGTAGGGTTTCTGAGGCTGTAAATCTTTACAATGGCAGAAGGTCTCATCTTTCTCCCATGATTGTCTAGTGGGTTTGAAATGCTGATCTTGTTAGCTGTCTAATGCTTATTCTATAGAACCACCAGAACTCTTGTGGTGGAATAATGTTGTTGTTTAGTGCTGTCAAGTCAGTTTCTACTCAACACAGCCCTGTTAGGGTTTCCAAGGTGGGTTTGAACTGCCAACCTTGTGGTTAGCAGTCCAGTGCTTATCCTACAGCACCACAGAGAAGGGGGTAAAATTATGAAAACTTCTTAGACATTACCAAACACCTTTACGGAATGAGTTTCTGGGCCTGGGATGCAGGACCACAGTCTTAGGGAACACCATGATTGATTAGAATAAAGACAACATTCTATATCTTACTTTAGTGAGTAGCAACTAGGATTTTAAAAGCTCATGAGTGCCATCTAAGGTGCAACTAGTGGTCTCTCTCTGCCTGAACGAAAAAAAAGTGATGAAAATTGAAGACATTTGGAATCAATGAACAAATTAGTTCATTGTCCAATGAACTAATGGAACACATGAACATCAATCTGTGTGACTCTGAGACCAGAAGAAGTAGATTGTG